CACATTTCCAAGAGCACCCTGGGAAATCCTTTCGTGCTCTTTATTTCCATCTAAGCCCTGGGTTGCTTTGAACAGCAGAGGTAATTGTACGGGTGAACTTCAGAGATTTGAAGGGATCAAACTTGAAAGCCTTTGACTGCAAGTGCAAGCTCCAACTGGAATCCTGTCAGGTGCTGCTAGACGGGACGTGGCGGGATGCTGCAGCACCAGGAATCCCTGCAGCAGGGACAGCTCAGTGTGCCTCTCCCCAGCACAGCCTCATTGGGCAGCAGCCTCATAATAGCACTGCAAACCTATAAATTGATGCATGTGATTATGTGGCTTGACTAAGGACGTCTCTGTGAGTCTGCATCAGAAGAAACCATCCCTAAGTTTCTTTTTCAGCATGCTCTGATAGGCTTTCCCTGGGATCAGAGCAGAGCAGCCAAGATTTTGAGCTGCAAGTCCGCATTTTTTTGGGGGGAGTGTGTGTTCCTTTGACTAGAAAATCCTGGAAGATTCAATAGAAAAAGGTGGCATGAAGTATATTTAATAGAACGCTAGAGACATTTTCAGAAAATGATAGAATTTAAGAAAGTAGAATTTAAGAAAGTTGTTACAACGCATAAGTTTTGCAACAGGGTTATGCATTTTTCAAATTTTGCATGACAGCCAAAACACTCCAGATGTGTTAACTTCCCCTGCCAGGTTTCCTAGATCTTCCCTCGGAGCACAGGTGAAGCTCCTTGTGTTCGAAGGCAGGGCTGGGTATGATCTGTTTCCATTTTCCACACCCTTCTCATGCCATATCTGACTGTCATCACTGCTGCAATCCAGGAATAGAGGAAACACGAGGGAACATTGGCACTGCTTGGATTTTTCAGATTTTGAATGCCTTTTTGCCACTTTGGAAAAGAAGCAGGCAATAACAGTAATGAGATAATTATTTTTCCCCAATGGATTTCAAGCAACTGCAGCTTAAAAAGAAATGAAAATTGCATTTATTTTCTCTTCAATTAAAATATTTGTCTTGGCCAAGAAAACCTGTCTCAGTAATTGCATACTGTGTCAACACCATCTGTCTTGTGACAACAGGTATCACAGTGGATAGTCAAAGTTTATTTGAGATAGTAAAAAGCCTGGTAGAAGTTTATTTTACTGTATTTTATTGTTTTATTCTACCACAAGGCTACTTGTTTACAGAATTCTGTTTCAATTCAGTATTATTGGTAAACGATCCCTCTCTTCACACTGGAAACTCTTTCAGCATCTGAATTATGGTCTCCTGATGTCTGGCAACTTCTCTGCAGGGAACACAGACCCGGGGAGAGGCTGGTGATCTTTCTTGGTCTGTATTTTTGTCTTCTTGACTGGTGGGTGAAAATCTCTTCCCTGCTCAATTTGCTGAACCTCTCTGTGGATTCTGATGGTTTTGGTCCTTCAATTTATTCCTAAGAGGAAGAGGTGTAATGCAAACACCCCTAATTCAGACCAAATCCACATGAATTCTCCCACTTCAGCCCTTGTGTGGTGTGGGTTATGGATCCTTCCTACCTGAGCATGCCAGAAAAGGAAAGCTCTGCAGTCTCAGAAATTCTTCTCCAGCCAATACACAATGACACCTATTCAGACTACTCACTTTTCCTTATATAATTACCATATAATTATGGAATTAAGTCTCTTTGCAAAGAACATATTATTATTAGCGATAATTTGTACTACAGCAGTGCCTAGAGGAAAGGATGCCTTGCATGAGCTACATGAAGAAAACATACATATCTAAAGTTCACTTTAACATTCAGCTGCAGTTTGGCTCAGCCAGACATGCAAAGACTAGGAGAGAGGAGCAGAAAGCACTAGCACAAGTGTGAAGCCAGACTTTGAAAAGATAAAGGCATTGCACAGGATCACAGAAACTGATCTACAGAGGAACAAGAATTGTACATGCACCTCCTGAGCCTGTGATGAACCATCCACAGTATTCCCTGTCCTCCCCTGCTGTCATTTGTTGTGTAAAATAATGCTCCTCTGCTGCCCAAACACACGGCACACTGGCCTGTCATGTTGTGGGGAAACACTGCCACACAGAAATGCTCAGACATCTAAAGAACACCTAAACCAAAGCCTGCATGTGTTTTAATCCTGCCAGGGTTAAAACAGTAACTTCTCTTCTGCATTTCTGCAATTCTAGCCACCTCAACTAATGTCACCCTAATGCCAATGTACCAAGATGCCTCAGTGGCAGCTGTACAGCCAGGACTGGCACTGCAAGGGAATTAATGTGCCCCAGTCTCTAAGGGATCAGTGCTGTCAGGCACTTGTGAAGGACAAGGAATAATTTCTACTTTGCATTTGAGCCTTTCCTTGGCTTGCAAAAGGCTGCCTGACTGGAATGAGATGCACACCACGAGCTCAACACTTCTTTCAAATTCCAAGCATACTTCACTAACTCCACTTATTATGAAAATCATGATTTTTATCACTCAAGAGCACTACCAAATCAACAGAGAAGAATGTAAGAAAGTTCTGCTGCTGAGATCTTGGCCCTGTTGTTCATAGGAAGTTAAAATGAAACTATTCTAAGCAGAGCAGAGATGCTTAGCAGTCCTTGTGTGCTTGTAAAGAAAATATATTTTATTTGTCATTTAGGTCAAAAAGGCAGTTCTGATTGATTTTTGAGACATGACACTAATCTCTGCCATTGCATCTCATTGTTGTGACCATTGGGTGCTGGAAAATGGCAGGAATTTTGCACTATTAAATCTATATCTTGACTGTCTCTAATATATCCAGCTATAATAAATCACACTGGTCTGCAGTTGGTGACTGCAAACTTATGGACACACAAACAACATGGGGAAGGAAATTGAAGCCTCGTCCACAAGTTGTGAATAAAAGAACACATTTGACTTGCAAACACAACGCTGAAATGACTAGTTCATGGTCTTCATTAAATTTATTGTGGTGGCTGAGAGTGGCTCGATGCTTAACACCACATCAAACCTCAAAAAAAAATGTACAATTCAGATCAGCTGCTCTCCATGGCTATGGACCCATTTTCTTGTGAGTCAATGGAGAAAAAGAGTGAGGCTTTTAGACTGGGTGTGCACAGACAATAGTGTGAATATAGTTCTTGCATCTTTGCTAATTTGCAGATGATTGGGTCACCAAAAAAACATTTATTTTTGTGTTAGATTAATGATTTAAGGTTGCCCTGCCATTGGACAGTTTGAGGACTTTCAGAAACATAAGCTAACTCTTTTGAAAATTACAGTATTGTTTTTACTGTTCACATTACTGGGATAGCAGTGGAAGATGTGTTTTCAGAAGACATATGTGTACACTTCCTTCCTGTTCTCATTTTCAACAGTGCAGATAATGCAGGGATGCTCCCTGTATTGAGCATCACTAGGGGAAGGGCCTTGGTTGTTGCACTCAACACAAGTGACTGCTCAGTCCTGGTTGATGCCAATGCAGAGGAGGGTCTATTTTTGCACATATAGAATGCATAATTTTCAAGAGGT